GCGGTTTCATTCCGCGGGAATGTTATATCGTTCAGCAATCCAGTGCTCGATCCGAAACCGGTAACACTTTCTTCTCGTGTTGAAATGGTTCCTGAGAAAAAAATTCCATCGGTAATATCGATCTTAATGCAAGATCGCCATAGCTACTCACATACTCTGGACCATTGATTTGGAAATGTTAATGCCTGGTATATCACCCTTCAAAGGGTTTTTTTCACTATATACATGTGGAGAGGTGTCAAAAATATTTGATGATCCGTGACTCTTTTCATCACAGTCCCTTCCGCTTCGCCGGTTTATTTAATGTAGCATTGGACACAAATACCCATGAAAATCTATCAAATGATGCCAACAAGATGGCACACTGGCGTATCTTTCCGGCGCTGATTCCGGTCCATAATTTGGTTCGAGCATTCATTTAGGTTTGAAGCTTTTCGTTCGAAAATGGGGTGACGGTTTGCTACCAAACTGTATCAACTTAGTTCCAGAATCTTCTTCCAAAAGTGCCCTCGAAAACTTGGCTAGTGAATATTAACGTGGATGATAGAAATTTTTCTGCATAAGTAGAACTGAAATCTGCTTAGGAAGGAGGTTTTGCTGTTCATTTCGTGTTTAAGTCCGATGCGACACCGGTGGAATACAGTTTGGCGCAACTTCATGCCGAGAATGTGGCGTCATCAACGACGTTTTCGAATCCCGTCTATGAAATGGAAGAATCGCCGGACGTACAGTCAGTAGCGACAACGCCATCGTCGCTGGCAACTCCAGTACTCGAACCGCTGCATGCTGCGTCAGCAATATCACGTTCCCAGTCACTTGATATCAAACCTGAACTCTCTACTGCTATTATTGGTTCGTTTCTATTTCATTTCAATGAAAAAAAGCCGGATTCTTCAAGTGCTGCTTTTTTTTTAGAAAGAAAGTAGACTTAAAAATTGTTCAGTTCTGATTGTTCAGTACCAGTGTTCAAAATTCACCATTGTATGAGCAAATTGCTTGATTTAATTGAGAATAAGCTCGTACTTGGAAAACCACTTTTTTCCATTCGTTGTCTTGATGGAACTTCGTAGTCTGATTGAAGATCCAAAAATCTTGCCTCCGGATCCTGTCAAAACAGGAACATCTGTTGAGTCCATGCAGTCATCGGCACATAGTAAGAGGACTTCGTCTGTATAATGGTGCTTCTGCACGTATACCTGGATCATTTGTTTGTAACTCTTATCTTAGCTGACGTGTTTGTAGAATAAATAGATGCTATGTTTTTTTTTGTCGTAACGAATCGTCTTTCACGAAATCAGCTTGAAAATCATTCCACTCCGAGAGTAGTAGCTGCTTCACTCTGGCTGATTTTAAAATAGCAATTTTAATCTTGAGAAAAATCATCAAGTAGCTTTTTTTGTGTCTGAGCTAAGGGTGCTGAAATTGTGTGGTATCCAGAGGCGGATGATAAAAAAGAATTCATGCATACGGATAGCTTAGAATAAGAACGTTCGATCTATCTTTGTTTCCGACAACATCTGAGGCTCCGTGCTAAGTCAGAGAGATGAGCCTTTATTGAGCGTCACCTCTGCTAACTTGAACAACTTCTGAAGAATGTAATTTGCAGCGCCGCATGCGGATTTGAGGCCCGGTGCGCCGATTCCACCAAAAAGAACTCTAAAGGAAGGCAGCGACAAAGTGAAGCTCGTAAGCGGTGATCAAGTTACAGACGTGTAAATTTTGCAGCTACATGTCGTTCTTTACTGGGCACGTGCAGACTGTGATAAAATAACGATTCAGACTTTTCCACTAAAAGTCATTTTTGTGCGTTTTTGCATTCTGTGCAAGTCCAAAAACGCATATTATCGAGAGATTCTCTCCTCTCTCTACGTATGTGTGTGTGTGTGTGTGTGTGTCTGTTCGAAGGCAAGTGAACTGTGTCACTCTCATCCACTTTCAATTCATATACATGGGAACCCGAGCGGCTGAAATTATAGCAGCGTATTTCTACACGTGTCCCGCCCTCCCCTTATACCAACTCTCATGCATGCTTAGTTCTCATGTATAGGATCCTGAAAAAATATATATATAAATTTTCTAGCGGAGAATAATTCTGGGAGCCGGTAAAAACAGGAAGCTTGGTATTCGTGGGCATATTTTTTGCCTATGTATGAGTTGAGGATTTCAAATTTAGCTTTCACAAGCGTGCATGATACAGTCATAAAAGTTCACAACTAGCAAATATGTCAGGGAAAAACCAGTCGGAAAAAAATAGCTGTAATCCTTTCGGAATATTTACTGCTCATCTGGGAAATCGTACGTTTAAATGGAGCTTTGAACTGCACTTGACTTAAAGCATGCCAAAAACATTTGTAGCGAAGTGGCGATTTTCAGCTTATCCGATGCCCCAAATCGGGTTTGCAAGGAAGTCGGATTTCTCTTTCGTTTTTCTTACTTTTGCTTTCTTGGTTCACGCTTTTAAAATTGCTCAAATATTTGATGAGTACGACAAGCCGCGCAGTGCCCGGTTAAGCTGTGCGAGTGCAAGCTGCTTTTTTTAATTTGTTATTGGATTAGTACCTGTGCAATTATAGTTGCAGGGGTTGATTTTTCTAAGCGATATTTAAACAAGTCGGGGATTTTACATTCCCAGGAAAAATGCCCCCTTTTAACTTTCTTTGCTCTTTTGATTCGTTTTTTTTTGCATGCATATTTCTTACGGGCTGCATATTACCTTTAGAGTGAAGTGCGCTTAAAATTG